ATATATATATATATATATATATATATATATATATCTATCTATCTATTTATCTATCTATCTATCTATCTATCTATCTATCTATAAGTCTGTTTTTTGTAGCTGCACTGCTGAACTGATGCAATATATTTAAGTGAGACAAATATACGTTTTCTCACTTTAACTTATTGCACTAGTTCAGCAGTGCAGCTACAAAGAACAGACCTTATCTATCTATCTATCTATTTATCTATCTTCTTTCTCTCTCTATCTCTCCAGTTTGCCTTGTCTCGATCGAAATGACGCCAACGTCAGGTTTAACGCTATATAATCTCATTTGAAGATTAATGTATCGAAAATACAGATGTTCCAAACAAAAATGTCCCTTTTCTGTGTAGATATTAAGAATTAATTTTTTGGGAAATTGTTTTCTGCATGGAGAGAATTTTATAGCAAAAATTCCTACAAAATTTTGTAATGTGTACTTATCGCATCAGTACACATTATTTCAGAAGTGAAAAAACCAATAAATCTATCAATATTCTCTCCATGTGAACGATGACAACAAATTTTAACGGATCATAACGTCAGCGCGTTCCCGCAACATCGTTCCGTTCTAGTTGCCCGTAATATTCTCGTTAATGGGGCTGGTTTTTACTGGCGGACTAAAAAAAGAGGATGCACTCGGTCCCTGCCCTGGGAATCTATCCATTTCTCATGACGACACGCAAAGAAAAAAAAAAAGAAAGGAATGATATTTATACGAATAATAATCGCAAGACTCACCGAGTAGAAATTTTGGCGGCAAATTAATCTAACAAATTACATTAAGTTCGAAGACTCCATGAAAAGTCTCAATCTTGTAAGCAAGAAATATTTACAGCAATGTTACTGCAACATTATTCAATAAAAAGTCTACAAACATACTCCTTACATTCAACCTCCATTTTGAATGTCGATCAGCTTGAATTTCAAATCGGAATATCTCTTTGCGCGTTCTCTATAAATTACTTATATTTTCATTAAAATCGGAGACCTTATAGAACAAATAATTTGACATACCTGGAAATATGGAATGTATCGTTGCCTGCGCCTCGGCATGCTGCTTCCCTCCACCCCGACCTTCGTACCCGATTGCTTCGTTGTAGTACTCTAGAGATTCCTTTGTTGCACTGACACTCGTGTAAATAAGATTCGATCGCTGAAGATGCGTTTCAACATGCTGTGGACGATAGTACGATTGAGTCAAACGTTCTAATATTCTCTGAAACAACGCTGAAAATCTTTTTTTACACTGAGGAAAAAATTATCTTAAAATCAACAAATATTTTTTGGGGGCCATTAACATATTTACTTAAATCTAAATTCTCTTTATTTAAATCAAATATTATTTATCTAATTTAAGTAAATAATATTTGGTTTAAATAAAAAGAATTTAGATTCAAGTAAATATGTTAATGGCACTCATCACGAAATATTTGTTGATTTTAAGGTAATTTCCCAGTAAGCAAGAAACATTAAATTAACGTTTAGAAACGTTGACTTCATGTATATTGTTTGGACATTTTTTAATAATATTGCATTTATATTTTTCACATGTTATTTTGTGATATGACTTTTCTGAATCTAAACTGTCTTTTGTTTTTAAACGTTTTAAAAACATTACAAAAAATATATTTTTTAAATGTTACTTTAACATTTATTTGAAATCAATGTAACATCTTAAAAATATTTCTGCCGATTAAAACGTTATGGCAACCCTATTTCAACATCCCATACAGCACAAATCTTCAAAGAACGTTCTAATGAGGTTCTAAAGACATTCATACATTCTAAGAACATCCTAGAACATTCTCTGAAGATTTTGTGCTGTCTGGGATTATTGAAACTTCCAAATCGCGGTCAAAGTATATTCATAATGATACAATATTAAACACATATTTGACAATGTTACAGGTTTTTCAATATCATTGTAGCAACGTTGTATTAATAATTTCTTGCTTACTGGGTTTTCTTTCAGTGTACGTACTATACTCAGGTAGCAAGGTGACGTCTTAATGACGTCTAAATGACGTCTTAGTAGGTTTTCAACGCCGTCAATAATTTTAGAACACGGCCTGGAATCAACGAAGTATTCTAATTACTTGGAACTTGAAGTGAAGATGCATCCTCGCGCATATAACACCGGCTCGAGATACAATGAGAAACTTTCGAAAAAGTCTGCGACGCGAGAATGCGAGTTTGACCGCCTTGAAGTTCCAGAATACTGTTAGTGTCACGGCGACTGGCCGCTCGGTGGTCGAAGCCACTAATCCGATGTTCTAAATAAATATTTGGAAGATGAAGTTGTACAGCCTTTAGAAATATTCCAAAACACATCCCAAAAAATCGCAAGTCACGTCCGAATAGGTTCGAACAAGTTCTTACCCGCTAAAAGAAATGTTTTGAAATGTTTTGAAATGTTGACGCTGCGTGACCTCTCGGCTACGCTCGTTAACTGACGGTAGGCGAGACTTTTTGTTTCCACTTTGTTTTCGCGCACTCTCGCGCCACTCGCGCTCCTCCGTGATCCGAGTATATTTATATTACGTCACGAGCGGGCGAGCGCCACCCCTCTTCAGCGAGTTGCAAACCTTTTCATGCAAATTTTGCTGGCCGCATGCACGCTCTCACGCGGGATTTCTTTCAATCGCCTCCCTGTCCTATGATTGTGCATCTTACGACTCTGCCGGAAGTCACAGTTAGATTTCCAAGAAATTTCGATGGTCTAGAACGTTCGATCGCGTCCTCCAGTCGATGTCGCGTTTATTAATATGTGTTTCTGTGATGAAATAGTATCTATGCGAGTGTCAGTGTCACGAATATTATCTAGAATATCATCACGAAGCAGAGGAGGGCCAGGATGCTGAAATGTGAGAGAGTAAAATTGAGGACGCCGGGACGCCGACGCCATCAGGTACTTACAAGTGTTTGAATTGCTTATTATACAAAAAATTTCTGATTTTATCAAGTTTCCTGGTGAAAATTCAAGCCGGCAGTTTGTGCTATTATTTGGCAAATAATTTGTAAGTATATAAAGGTTGGTTTTAGAATCTAACCTATATTTCATAAGTGTTGTTTTCTGCATTTAATAATGTTCCTTGATTTTTACAGAAAATCAACACCAACAATTATAATAATAAGAGAAGTATAAATAAGGGAGGTTTGTTGGTTTACCCACTGTTTACTTATCCAGATAGCACAAAGGTTTCAGAATCATTCTGGATACATTCTAAAGTAATCTTAAAATATTGTACTAATGTAATATTGTAAGTATATTGATCGTTTAATACTTGAGTTTACAGAATAAGTTACATAACTAATAATTATTCAGTCAAATTAACAATAAAGATTAATTGCAGATAGTATATAATCAAATATTACTTAACACTAAGATAAGCAAACTAAAATTTTTTTTAAGGCACAGTATAGAAAGATGACAGTAAATAATCATCTGTTATGAGGATTGGATTCTTGTACACTGAGAAGAAATAATTTGACCAAAAAATGTAGTTATTATTAGTGCTAATTATGCCTTTTCATTATTCTCACAAAAAATAGTGATAACGATATATACATGTAAAATTATCATTATTATCATTATAGTAACACTATAGAAATGGTTTTGCTGATTATAATTTTTTTACTATGTAATTATAATCACTAAATATTTTTCTACAATGTTATATAGGTTTTGTCTCGAAATTCTCCATTCTTCAATCTTTAAATCTGACTTTGAATTCTTCCACTTTTAATTTAAACAGAATTTTGCGTTTAATATAGAAGCACAATTTCAACTCGAGTTCTCTCTTTTTCCTTTTCAACTGGGCATTGTCCTCTTTCACCTGAATCATGCAATTGATTACAATAACTCTGTAGATCTCGTGTTCGCCTGATTCACCTGTTTCTTTCTCGAGCACGTGTTACATACGTCGCAGCGCGATTTCCGCTCGCGCGTATTCAAATTCGCGCGATCCCGCCCCCGTTAAATGCAAAACAAAACGGGGCACATCGGGCGCGTACGCGAAAGGACCATAAATCACGATAAAAGGGCGCACGTGCACCCTCTCGCGCGAAACCGACGGAAAACTATTAACACTTTGTAACGCGCGCGAAGGCGAGGAGACAAGGGAGCAAAGGGACGATACGCGATCTAAATGAGTTCTGTCGCGCGCGAATCCTGCCGTACAGAAAAAAAGGTTTGCTTGAATTAACCAAATATCTGGTCGAATATGAACGATCCAGAAATCTCGATCGAAGTAACTCGAATTCTGTTTGAGTTAACAAAATTTTTGGTTGACTTGAACAGAATTCGAGTTACTTCAATCGGGATTTCTGGATCGTTCATATTCAACCAGGTATTTGGTTAATTCAACCAAATCTTTTTTTACGTGCAGGAAGCTTTCCTCGTGGAAAACGCGTCGGTGAAATTTTGCTTCTACATTAAACGCAAAATTCTGTTTAACTAAATTAAAAGTGAAAGAATTCAAAGTCAGATTTAAAGTGGATTGAAGAATGGAGAGTTTCGAGACAAAACCTATATAACATTGTAGAAAAATATTTGGTGATTATAATTACATAGTAAAAAAATTATAATCAGCAAAACCATTTCTATAGTGTTACTATAATGATAATAACGATAATCTTACATGTATATATCGTTATCACTATGTTTGGTTGACTTAAACAGAATTCGGGTTACTTCAGTCGGGATTTCTGGATCGTTTATATTCGACCAGGTATTTGGTTAATTCAACCAAACTTTTTTTTACGTGCAGGAAGCTTTCTTCATGGAAAACGCGTCGGTGAAATTTTGCTTCTACATTAAACGCAAAATTCTGTTTAACTAAATTAAAAGTGAAAGAATTCAAAGTCAGATTTAAAGTGGATTGAAGAATGGAGAGTTTCGAGACAAAACCTATATAACATTGTAGAAAAATATTTGGTGATTATAATTACATAGTAAAAAAATTATAATCAGCAAAACCATTTCTATAGTGTTACTATAATGATAATAACGATAATTTTACATGTATATATCGTTATCACTATTTTTGGTTGACTTAAACAGAATTCGGGTTACTTCAATCGGGATTTTTGGATCGTTCATATTCGACCAGGTATTTAGTTAATTCAACCAAACCTTTTTTACATGCAGGAAGCTTTCCTCGTGGAAAACGCGTCGGTCCTGAAAGCACCTGCCAGGTTCAGTCTGGTCTGACGGAATAATTCATGGAAACGGAGGCTCGACAATTAGGTAATAAATAGTAGGAACACCCAGTCAGAGCAGAGCCAGCCACCCCCTATGTCTATCCCTCCCTTCGCGTTTCGCTACGTCGTGCTCGTTGAAATCGACAGGGGAGTGAATTAATAAAACGACCCCCGGCTGTGTGTGTGTGTGTGTGCGTGTGCGTGCACGTACGCCCATGCGTGCACACTACCCGGCGGCCCGCCGCACAGATGTGACCCTCCGCTAGAAGGGATATTTCTTTTATTTTATTGCCGGAGCTTAATGGAATAGTTTGCATGCCGGGAACAATCAACGCGCCGGAATATTACATTTCTCGCTCGAGCCGAGGACCACCGGTGGAGGAAGGAAAAAGGCAACCGGATTAGATCTCTGTAAACTGTTCGTGTTTTTTCAACTCACGGAGATGATAAGATTATTCCGCTTCGTGCGTTTCTGAGCAGAGATCATTTAAAATCTGAATTGACTCGTATCACTCGCACACAGCGAATGCTTTCATGTATGCTAACGAACATATAATTTAAAAAGAAGTTATCACACAGCTAAGTATATGGCGAAAATTTATAGTGAAAATTACTATAATATTCGTATATAAAAATACAAAATATACTATTTATATATATTATATAAGATACTATATAATTTATAATAAAGATTAAATAATAAAGATAATAAAGATTATTATATAGCATTTTATAATTAGGAATAAATTGATATTTTTTAACATTTGATTGTTCTTTTATCTGATGTCTTATTTATGTTTCAGGGGCTGAGGTGTGCTATTAAAAATTTGCTGTTTCCAGCTAAATTTGCCATGTTCCTTAGTTTGCTGAGTCTATTTCTGCACTGCTAGAAACTTAGTAAAATTAAAGAGAATTAAGTGAAAAAATATAACATTTCGCGCGATATCCCGTATCATAAAGAAGAAAATTGCAGACACGCAAAAATAATAGGATTAACGGCGGATAACGCGCGATTGTGTCCATTAAATGTAATGTAGTGTCGCTACAACGCGTGACGACAGCTTTTTTTCTCTTTTTTCGGTTGTAACTCAGGCCCGTGCTCTGAGTAAGTAGGGACACAATGCACGGGGTGGAAAACGGTCCCGTCACTCTACCAGCACCGCGTGAGATCGCAGATTCGAGAATCCCGTGTGTCGACCATTAATAATCGTCTTTCTCTTCCTCTCTCTTTCTCTCTGGGACACCCCACGTCCCTCCGATGACACGCGTAAATCTGTCGCTAAACGACTCCTTTAACACGTTTACCGCCGCGTTGATTTCCGCTGATCGCGAACAGAAGCTAAGCCAACGATTGAATTTCCAGGGTTCGCGGCGTCCACCGTGAAAACCGTACGAGCGAAGATTTCCTGGCGCAAAACAGTGTCGCCCGATCGACTTTTCACGGATGGAAGGAGAACGAGCTCGACGCGCGGAGAGAAACCGGCCGCAGTCAACTTGGCTCGGAGTTTTCGGCGAGGAATCTTCAGCCGCCTTTGCTGGCGGTCCTTCGGTCTCCCTCCGGCGCCACTCCGGAGATCCTTATTAGAACGATACGTCGGATTCGAGGCTGAGAATTCCCTCGGCCCAGCGGCTGGGGCCCGCATATAAAAGTGCGTGCGCGGCAAATCGCACCAGCGGAGACGCCGCATTGAGCGGAGGCGGTGGTCCGTGAAACGCATTTAGCTTGTTGGTACACAGAACTCGACGGGACACGCGAGCCCTGTTCTCCCCGCGCATTGTGTGCGTGTGAGTGCGTGCGAACGCACCCACGTGCAAGTGCGAGCCGGGCGCGTCGATGATCGTCGAGAATCCGCTCGTCACTTTTCAGGTATCGCGTTCGTTTTCTTCCAATCCGCTCGATATAGAAAGTGATAGACCAGTCATTTGTATCGTAACGAATCAGGTGCAAGAAGACAAAATATGTTAACATTTTCCATTTTTTTCAGACACACGCTTTTTCTTCCCGACCTGAATGCATGTAAAAAGGGCCCGTTCGCATAATCCGTCACCTGCATTGTATTATTAGAGGGATTACGAATTTCCGGGCGTGTCCTCCACGTGGAGGTCGCTGTCCCGTGCGACCTCTCCCTCCCCTTTCTCTCTCTTTCGCTGCCTGTTCGCCAGCAAAGAGATCAGATTCCACTCCAAGTCCCCTATGAGCTCTTCTCGAAGGCGATCCTTCGGAATACGACAATAAAACCGATTCGTGAGTGGAGGGAAAACAGAGTCGAGCAGATGCGGGCCTCCATCGACTTGTTCTGTCAAAACATGGACGACGTTTTGTAAGTAATATACATGGAAGAACAGAGAGAAGAGCGAAAAGAGGAGGCCTCTTCGCACTTGAAATTTATTGCGTCCGATCACTCTTGCTTTGAGTGAGAGTTACGTTATATTTATCTGCTTTATATTTATCCACTTTTTTATCTGCTATTTTGCCGTGCAAAATAACAGATCCGAGCTTGAGTATTTCCATTTCGCAGAGTATTGAGCCGCGACGCCCGCAGTCAAATTTTGTCTACAGATTCGTAAGATTTACTCGATCGTGTCCTCTCGATCTTCTAGCTTGCAATTTCGGACAGAATTTCGCGTAAAGAAGAATAGCTTTTCTAATTAATTAATTTCTACGTATCGAGATTCTTTTATGTAGGATGTACACACGACGCGTCTCTCTAAATTACCCGTAATAATTCTTCAAGTTCCCGTGTATTCGGCAACACATCGATTATTACAGCTTGCTGAACGGGCCGATCAGCACCGTCATAATTTATCGCCGGAAGCGTGACTTTGTGCCCTCTATTATGCAAAATCACAACAGGATCTCTCGTCGTCCACTCAAGAGAATCGCCTGCTCTTCTCTCTTTTTCTCTCTTATTCTCGTTCAGCCCCGAAGAGATTCTGGAGGGCGAGAGAGAGTCATCAATTACAATTGGAAATAAATCGAAGGCAGATGCAGCGATCGCCCGCAGGGCTCGTCGCGGCGGGTGACCGATTTCTCACCCCTCGCAACCCCCCGCGGACAATACGCTGTTTTCTCCAAATACAAAACGGTACACGAGCTCGGTGAATTCCCGAATTCGTTCTCGTTTCATCATGATGCCTTCATCGCGAGAGATGATGGCACGAACAATTTCGAATGATTTTAAAAATATCTTTTTGCGCAAAGAAATTTATTTGATAAAATTTAATCGGATATTCTGATCGCGGAATTTGGTCAGAAATATCCGTTTGTTAATTTTTTATCAGATAATTTTGCTCAGTGTACCGTTTTTAATTATCTCGAATATTACGTTTATCTAGAATCTCTCTCTCTCTCTCTCTCTCTCTCTTTTTCTCTCCCTCTTCCCTCGCTCTATCTCCACACTGACGACATAATACGCGAGAAGGCAATCGAATTATCGGTCAAACCTTATCGTCTGACATGCTTGGTTCCTGCCTCTTTTTGACAACTTAATAAAGAAATAATCGGTCACTCCATATAAAGTCCGTAACGAGGCGCGATAGCTCGTTTATCTGCGGACTACAGGAAGCCGGTAGTGGGTCCGGGTGGCGATAACAATTCTTCGCGAAGCCCTGCGAGATGTGAGAACACCGTCGGTATAATTCACCGACTCAAAGTGTTAAGCCGCGATCGGCCGCGGAGATATCGAGATTCGTCTGTAATAATAACGCTTGACAAGCAAAACTCGTCTTATTCGTCACGGTTCTATATCCATAATGATGGTACACAATGATGAGAATATAATTAATCGGGAAGATACGCAAATTGATTTAGCGCAATAATAAAGTTTTACGATTAAGGCTCCTGGGGAGTCGCATCATCCACCTCTTTTTAATGACGTCAGAAGCGAGAAAACGCATGCTAAAAATTCTTGCAAAATACGTCGAGATAAACAGATATATTCACAAAACAACATTTGCGATCGATTAAGTACACCTCTAAAATACTCCGTACACTTTCCTTTTATTCTAAAAATCAATAGATAATCGGAAAATTAATATAACAAGATAATGAGGAAATTAAGTTAAAAAAGACGATTGCACGTCACATTTATTTTATAATTATTTGTTGATTGTTAGAACAAAAGGAAAGTGTACGGAGTATTTTAAAGGTGTACTTAATCGATCGCAAATGTCATTTTGTGGATATATCTGTTTATCTCGACGTATTTTGCAGGAATTTTTAGCATGCGTTTTCTCGCTTTTGACGTCATTAAAAAGAGGATGGATGATGCGACTCCCTAGGAGCCTTAAATTGTGCCCAGCAGATTGTCTGGAGGAGCCGTTGTCTCTCACGTCGAAGAATCGCGAAAGGTTGCACCGCAGGGTCACTCGATACTTACGACTCATCGAACCGAGCCGTCCAAGGTCTCGGTGCATCCTTTGGATCCACGTACGGCTTCTTATAAGAATTCCCTCCGCGCCGAATGCACGTCATTATGTTACATATCGTGGTGAGCGTCGCGCAACTGCACGAGCTCGTCGCTCCTCCCGTCTCTCCGCGCCCGAAGGAACTCGATACAAAATCTGGTCGAAAAACGAATAAGTAATATCTCTCGAACAAAAGACATCTCTTAAGAACCGACAGATCGATCGTTGCGAATCATCAAGCTTGTCCTTTTTCAAAGAACTGCTTGAACTGGTATAAATTAAAGTGAGACAAGTATGTATTGTTTCACCCTAACTTATTAGTGCATTAGTTTAGGAAGTTCTTCAGGAGAAGAATTGACCTCTTAGCTGCGTTCAGCAGAGAATGCTGCTTTGCAACAGTCGTAGAATTCGTCAATCTGATTGATATATGCTCTTAGATTTGGCCAAGATAAAGTTGCAACGCGGCTTTCCCTTCAGTTCATTTTCAGTTCATTCTTGTCTCATCAAGGAAACTTTATATATTTTATATATAAAGTCGAACGTAATTGGTAGAAATTTTTCGAATCAACTCTTCAACTCTTAGTATCGATATTGATATTAATACTGGTATCTTTATCGTTAATTAGCGAATTTCTGACATCGCGAAGGATGCCTTTCATTGGAACGTTTCACCTTTGAGTTTCGTTCTTCGCGAACAAATCCGAGGCTATTCAGTCGCTTAAGACAATAAAACGGATCCGATGGGGAGATCGCTGCAGCGCGCGATCCGATTTGATGGGATCGGGATAATGCCCCCTGGATTGCTGCGCGCTCCGGTGCCCGACGGCGTTCTTCCTGAAAAAAGGGACTCTCCACCCTCCTCCCGTCGCTGCGCAAATGCGGCGCAGGATCAGGACGCATTAACGTCGACGGTAACGACGATCGTGTCGCGCGATTCGATCGTCGTGAGCGTCCAATATAAATTGTCTCTAGTCAGGTTTCGTATAAATTATGAAAAATCAATTGTAGGTTTGCAAGAAAGTCGAGATGGAACGTAGTGAAAAATATTCGCGTCTGGAATTATATTTATTTGCTGTCATCTTGGCACTTGGATCATATCGGTTAAGCTGTCATACAATCAACGCGACGGTCAAGGTGTCGAACAAATCGCAAGTTTCCAAGTCAATTTTGGGTCATAATTGCATCATTGCATCTATGGCGAGGATCATCCAAATGCAAGCTCCTTCCGGAGGCTGGATCTTTTAGGTAGCATCATTATTATTCCTAAAGTGTCTATTTTCAATATTTATTACTATTTTCCTCTATTCCATTTCAGTGCGAGCGTAGAGAAAAGGATGAAACGGACGAAACGAAGAGAGAGAATCCGAACGCAAATGTCAATCTTTAATCTATAAACTCTTTACAAATATGTACAATATAACAAAAAGACTTTGCGACGGCGTCCACATACTTAACTAAAAGGTGAAACAGAAGGTAAACGCATACGCAACGACCCGCACTGACTCATACTCGTTTAGCCGAACGCGGAGGAATCGTGATTCATACATTTCGTCAATGACGAGCCACTGCGCCGTGACGTAATCGTCATCACGGTCGTTGTTTTCTTCTGTCAATTGGACGCGGTGATATATTCGCGAGGAGACATTCTCGCGTGAGCGAAAAGTAACGCATAGATTACTTTCCCTCACTCTCCTTCTCTTTCTCTCTTTCTCTTTCTTTATTCACAGTCTGAGACAAGTTGGCGAGACCGTCAGTCGTACCATTTGCTTCGACATTTTTCTCGAAACATTCAGACGTTACTTTAGACTTCTCCGACGTTTGCTTGAGCGATAATCTCTCTGTCTCGTGGATACTGAGATTTAACGAGAAATCGCTAAATTGAAACCGAAATCCGACGTGTGTGTACTTCGGTAAATCTGAAAACAAACCAAACGGCATGAACGTGACACGTGAAGCAATTCAGTTAGAATTGGATGCGTGTAATTTGACTCGAGCTTTTCATTCGACCGATCTTTTTTCCGCGCGGTACTCTCATTCAAGTCACACCGAAGACGAGGTTGTTGGTACGATGATTCGCGCGATTTGCCATCGGCGCGTCACCTGTCGCGCGTTATCGGGACTCGTCAGTCGAGCGGACTCGTCACATCGCGTCTTATATACGACATATATATGTATATAATATATATATATATTGAAAAATATGTTCATTAAGCGTTCCCTCACTGAGAGTTCTACTTGTCTGCGTGTTTCAGGGGGAATTTATTCCCATAAATACAATACAATACAATTATCGGGGGTGGTGGTCGGTCGGCGGCGGTGGCTTGCACGGGCCTCAGTAGGCCCGCAGTCGTACCTCCATCTCGGCATCCTGACGATGCGGCAGGTGGGACTCGATGGCGGCGGCGGTGGCACCGGCGGCGGCCGCGCCGCTCACGTGTCGGCTGTGATGGCCGTGGTGATGGTGGTGGCCGTGGTGCTCGTGGTGATAATGGTTGAGATGCGGCGGCTGCGCGGCGCCGCTCCGGTAAGCCCGTTGCTTCTCCTCAAAGTCGCGCAGCCGTTGATTGTAGCGCTCGAGCTGTTCACGCAGTAATGCGTCCTCCTCGGCCGCACGTTCCTCGTCGTATTCGAGGCAGCCGACCCCGTCCAATCGCTCCAGGTCGATCCAGCCGCGCCACCTCACGCACACGCCGTTCATGATCAGATGCGAGCGTAGGTGTACCTGGAACACACGCCGCGTCATCGGGAAGCGCGATTAGCAATGCGTGCATCGAAGGGAGAAGGCCTCGCGCGGATTTCGTTGCACAAACTGCGATCGAATCAAATCAGAAGAGGAATCGAGTCAGGCGCGATAATAGCAAGGACTGGGAGTGCTGAAGATAATGTAAAAGAGCCAATTTCCTCTAGTTGTCCGAAATTGATCTAAAAAAATTAATATTTTCAGAAAGTCTATTTTTGAGATCGACAATTTAACATAGAACTTTGTATTGCAGGATTTAGTTGACGGTACTCTTAAAATTCTTTGGAGTGAATCTCATACTAAAGAAGGGTTCGCCGTGAGCTCGTCGTGATCGACCATTCGCGGTTTGCGATCTCTTAGTCTTTCTTTTTCCGAAATTCGCCGGCACCGGTAAGAATCGTAGGAAGGACTCCATCACGAGCCACGAGCCACAAGTTTCAATCACGTCCTGGCTCGTTCTTTCTTCCTCTCTCGGCCAACAACGCTTCTTATTTCCGCGCGGGACGATTACGCAGATTGGAAGGTACGAGGGCCTTCGCGGTCCACCTCGGAATAGATGGGGGAGATGAAATTGAGAGGTGAGCCCGCACTCTCTCGCAGCCCTCGTAAGAAATCAATTACGAGCGAAAGTAACTCTCTCGCCGATGGCTCGCTCCAGCCTCAAGCCATAAAATGCTGCGGTACAATATGCTATTATCTCGCGCATCTTAGTTCGTTACAATCTTTTTTATACAACAAGCCGGAAATTTTTAGGAAAATGCGTCAAGGCTTATTTTAATTAAGTTAAAACGTGTCGTATTTCCTAACAAAGTTGAAGATCCGTCGCGAGATATATCGAAATAAGATATATCATTTTATGTATATACCTTATAAAATGGACCGCACCTATTATCTCCTGTGAACCGTCAAAAATAGTGGAATGCGGTCTTCACTGAGATCAACTAGATCAAGATCTACTAATTTGGTAAATTGCAATTTTTTTAATATTTCTAATAGTTCAGGAGATAATAAGTGCGACTCACATTTACAAGTAAAACTGCCCAAGTGTAACACTCCAAATTTTCTAATACTTTGCACACATTTATAACATAAGCCTAGAAACCATACAAGACCATTTCTAGCTGCCCGTTTTGTTATAAAACCAAAATAACATAACTTAAAATCTAGAAATCTGATCTTTTACCGAAAACCGAAAATCAATGACTTTGCAACGATGGCCCTTTAAGCCTGAACCCTAATACACCTAATACCATATTCAATAATTAAAGATAAAAATTCAATATTCAATGATTTAAGGTTCGAAATTCAAGAATTTAAAATTTCGAATTCAGAAAGAAATTTCAAAAGGATTCAGAATTTATTGAATGAAGGTTTCGAGGTTAGAGGTATGGAAGATCACACTGTTGAACTTTAAGTGTTTACTGTTCATGGTTTCAAGGTTTTTAGGGTCAGCAGTTTCAGGATTTTAGGTTTCGGGATTTATGATTTTGAGTTTAGAGTTTTGGGTTTTATGGTTTAAGTCTTTACGGCTCTAAGATTCAGGTTTAAAGAGCCATCGTTGCAAAGTCATTGATTTTGGATTTATAAAAGGTCAAATTTCTGAATTTTAAGTTATGTTATTTTGGTTTTATAACAAAACGGGCAGCTAGAAATGGTTTTACATGGTTTCTTGGCTTATGTTATAGGTATGTGCAAAGTATTCGAAAATTTGGGGTATTACACTTGGGTAGTGTTAGTTGGATACTTGTTAGTTGAACTGTAATGTATACATATAAAATAATGTATCGCGATATATATATATATTTTTTTATGATGTATTTTATATATTTGATATTTTTATATTTATTTTTATATTTATTTTATATTTATTTTTATATTTATTTTTATATTTATTTTTATATTTATTTTTATATTTATTTTTATATTTATTATTTTATATTTATTATTTTTATATTTATTTTATATTTATTTAATATATTTTATATATTTATTTTCATAATGAGATATAAAGTAAGATCTTAAGACAAACGCGCCCCGTCAATGGAAGCGAATCGACGTTACATCTCGTTACATTCTTTCGCGTTGCAGCGGCTTACAGCTGCGTCGTCGACAATGCACCGCGGGGCGCACTTTTATGCGATAATAATCGAGCCGCGGGGTGCGACGATGGGTAACGAGGTCTTAAACGTTTCGATAATCGAATCGCTCGCGGCCTCTGTTTCCAAAGGGCTCGATCAAAATTCCCGACCTGCTGCGACGAGAATACGCGCGTCTTCCACCGTATCGTTAAAACGTGTCAGATTTTTTTGCAACAAACTGTCAAATGAGGGAACAATTATTAAATAAATGGATAAATTTGTAGATGGAAACTAAACGTGAAGTATCTGTTTCCAGGTTGAAGCGTAACGCGCTCGATCGTTGCGAATACAACGCGATGAAAGAGATTCCTCCAAGAACGAGGCGGAAAGTTTTGTTCTCGTGCAATCTTATACATATTAATGCGTCTCCGGGTAAAACGGAATCGTCGCGCGCTGGATCTTACACGGGCTGCATGTTAACTCAAGTCCGAGACACGTGAGCGTAAGATGACGTCGGGAAATACGTCGAGTCGGTCGACGCAACGATATTTACATGCACGCACACTCTTATCCTTGCAGGATTTCCTCGTAAGAACAAATAACGTCCGCAGATCCGACTATTCTTATCTATCCTAGTAAATCTTACTGAAGTTCATTTCATTTTGTATTTGTTTCTCTTAATATCCAGAATCAGATCCACATTTGTCGCAACGAGCTTTGTCACTCCAATGATATTGCAAGACGAATCGTGAAGGCGTATATATTCAGCAAAAACTTGAGACTTGTAAAAAGATCGACACGACCAAGAGAAAGAGAAATAGGCAAAGTAAATAATATCTGCAAGTCTCCGACTGTTCTTATCTATCCTGGTAAATGTTGAGGCCATATTGAAACTTATTTTATTTTACAGTTGCTCTCTCATCCGGATGTTGCTTTAATATTCGGACATCGTCGGATCAGATCCACATTCAACGAGCTTTGTCACTCTAATGATGTCGCAAGACGAATCGTGAAGACATGTATATTCCGAGAACAAGAACTCAAGGCTCGTAAAAAAGTCCCGACACGACCAAGAGAGAAAGAGACAGTCTGCATCCGACTTCGTCATTAGTCATCGTCGTCCGTCTCCCTCCTCGTTCTCACGACGAGGAAAGAACAGTAGGAACATTTGTTTTTCTCCTTCTTCCGCTTTCGCGTACGGGCGTGACCGACCATTATTATTACCGTCGCACAATATCGCCGAGCGACATTTAGAGTGTAACCCTTTCTGATTTGCATCAGCGAGCGCCGCGAGAGGAGGAGAAAAAACGTGAAGAAGAAAAAAGGAAAGCGAAACGAGCAGCGAGAGGAGTCGCGCGACGAGGGAAGGGGTGCAGAGAACGGGCGACTCTAAATCGCACAAGCGGGACGAGCGACCGGCTATTTTCACGGGTCCTTTTGTTTTTCGGTAGGCGTCGCCGCGCGGCGCCTTTTTGCGCACCGTCCGGGTCCGTCCACTGCAATGGTCCCTCCAGAGGAGAGCGCTCGAGCACATTCGTCAACGATATCCTGACAGAAAGGACGACGCAAGCGGCGAGGGGCATACGGTCAGCATGGCGTGTCTTTTGTCCTTCTACCTCCCCCCCCCCCCCCCCCTTTT